AAAAAACGTGCAGGCGAATAGTGCAATAAAAAGAAAATAAATATTATTGAAAAGTTGTAAAAGGACAGTGCAGTTACAGGGATGTAAAAGGGATCTCGTTATTTTGGCAGTGTCAGGTTTCAGCAGCATAGTTGAGGTTAAATACAGGAAACAAAAACTAAACATTGAAAAGGTCAAACACATTTCCAATAGCTAATAGCTCTGTCTGCACTCCTTGCTATGCACAATATGACCTAAGGACCATGGTGACCGAAACATTCTGGAAACATCAAATTCTTTATCCTATTTTGATTCTAACAAATTGAGTGTGGATCCCCTCTGTCCTTTGCCCAAACAATGTTGCAGCATCCTTCACCTGGACAACCTCTCGACCTTTCCACTGTACTGAAGCTTCACTGCCTGCACTTCTGTGCATGTTTGCAGTTGCTTCTGTACTCTTGAACTATCTTGTCGGCAGCGTCCCAATGCAGCAGTGAATCTAGGTCAGACTCACCACCCTATACATAAACTCTCTAAACCTTTTTGAAAATCAAACATCAGAGATCTGTTGCAGCACATCCTTCTGCCATCCAAAAACAACAACATCATTTTATATTAAGTCCACCTACAAACACCTGATGGTTTTCTTTTTCATGACACAAGGAAGAATTAATTGCTTCCTATTGTAGCCAGCATAATGCTGGATGATGTTAAAATGATCAGACAGAATAAAAATGATGCAGTACATCTAACCTGCATAGTTTAGTCTCAGAAGAAAATCTATTAAAACAGATAATTGGATGAGGGAGGGATTAGACAACAGGACAATGCTGGCTAAATCGCCCTAAAGGAGAAATGGTGTCAGGGGAGCTCAAGGACAGCATAGTTAATGGGGCATCAGACAGATGACAGAGAAGGAGGGAAGTGGAGCGGACGCTGTGTAAAGGATGGTAGGCAGGTGAGAAACTCTTAATATCATGGAAAATTTGATCATCACAGCGCAAATATAATCGTTTTAACTGCAACACCCTGAGCGTGCTGCAGAGAGTGACCCCTCTGACTATAATTTTGCTTGCGTAGTAGCCGTTTCTTTTGGATCTAAATGCTAATTCAATACATAAAAACATATACAGAAACAAATAATGTTTTTAAAGTCAGTCAGCTAGTTAGTCCTGCCGTAGCTGCGAACCTAAATGAAAAGCCATGGTGGGATGTCAGGCCTCACCTATCAAGGCAGTGAGTGTTTGTGACACTTCTGTCCCAGTTGTTTGACTCCTCTGACCCTGCATCACTTCCTCTGTTTATTTCAGAGGAAGACATAGTAGAGGGCTCTTTACTTGCTCAACTTTCCAAGAGGCTAAGTCCAAAAGCAATGCCTCCTTTGACCATGAATTTTCACATTTTATCATACTGCAAACAAAAACCTCAGTGCATTTCGATGTCGAAAAAAATATTAGACATTTTTTCTACACAATTTCGACATTTTATCCTTTCAGCAACTCTATATAAAATCCTTTTCCCTAAAATTACACATAATTACTAAATAGTGTCCAAGGTTTGTGAAAGAATAAATATGTAAACAAATTTTTTCCATAAAAGTTTAAAAAAAACAATCCACTGGATTTGGTTTCCAAGGTTTGAATAGGTTTCACTTCCCCTCCAGGTAGCTTTTTCAATTCAAAATGTCAATTTGAATGACATTTTAAACTTTTACGGAATGACTATGACCTGGATGACTGAGAATCTTCGCCAGCATACAGCATCATGAGGATCCAGGAACACAGCAACAGGTCAGGAATGATGAAAAGTTTAAAATGGGTCTGTTTATCAAACAACATATCAACAACCGGCATGCTGCGCAGTAGGAATATTTACTCTAGAGACTATACACTGACGCAAACTAACACTGCACACCACACCAGACACTTCACTGACCCCCTGAATCAAGCACTGATTGCAGTTGGACAACTGCTCAAAACTGTTCTTCAAGTGTGGTCAAATGCAAAACAAAAGTAAAAGTAAAACTAATAAATACTTTTGACAAAGACCTGATGGGTTTTTGTTTTTTTTGTCAGTATGTTGCTGACAACATTTTACGGGTCTAAACTTTGCACAGAAGGCTGTGCTGAATGTCTGTTTAAAGAGCAGAACGGACCTGAGCATGCATCAGGGGAAACACTGTGAGCGATGAGTACTTCAGTAGGAAGCTGCAGCCTCAGCACGGCCCTGCAAGAATCAGAATTCATCATCCAGGACAGCGCTGGAAATGTGGAGGTGCTGGTTTACATGTACAAATGTAGGTACACAGCAGAACTGCAGCCAGGAGCAGCCATTTGTTTACAAACTTCCCTTCACCTTCCCCCTCAAGGCGTATAATCAATTCTTCTGTCGAGAAAAACCACACATGTCTAAGTGAATGATTAAATGTCAGTCTGGAACTGAGGTGTCATCGTGCCTTGTAATGAAAACATGTAGATTTACCCCCGCCAAAAAAAAAGGGAACAAGAAAAACTGCAATAAAATATGTTCAATCAAAATAACTATGAAAATCTTATTCTTTAAGAACTGGGATGATTGATGATTGAAATCAGGCAAACTGTGAATCTAAAATGGTTCAAAGTGACGCAACAAGATATTTTTTTGCTGTTGTTGCTTTAGATAACCAGATACTTTCTATCAAGGAAAAGGGACAACCAAACCAGAAATAATGGAGGAGTTGCTGTTACAACTGCTAGTCTTATGGGGTAATTATCAGCTTTGCACATCTAGGGACTGATATCTATGTCGGTTGCTCTTTTGTAAAATGACAGCTCAAGTTTAATCAGTGTGAATGCTCATTATATCTGAACAATCAAATCTTGGTACAGACTCTCAGTTGGACACAGGCTTATACTTTGACTAGGCCGTTTTGTCTCACATGATATAAATCATTTCTTTGAAGTTTCTGCGTTGCTGTTGGGATCATCTTCCTGATAAAGCAGCTCTAACAGGTTATCTTGCAGAAGTGCCTTATATTTCAATTGGTGCAGATTATTTTTTTTTTAATCCCTGAAGAGGAAAATCATCTACACACCATGATTCTCCCACCGATATGTTTCAACCAGAGCAGTGGATTTTTCTAGCTTCTTCTGTTACTTTGCACCTTTTGTCTGTAACCTTTATTGA